TTCAGGTAGTTGTAGAGGGTGATAAGGTCTCCCCTCAGCCTCCTCTTCTCCAGGCTAAAAAATCCCAGTTCCCGCAGCTGCTCCTCATAAGACTTGTCCTCCACACCCCTCACCAGCTTCGTTGCCCTTCTCTGGACACGCTCCAGCACCTCTATGTCCTTCTTGTTGTGAGGGGCCCAAAACTGAACACAGCACTCGAGGTGGGGCCTCACCAGTGCCGAGTACAGGGGGATGATCGCTCCCCCAGTCCTGCTCACCACACTATTCCTGATGCAGGCCAGGATGCTGTTGGCCTTCTTGGCCACCTGGGCACACTGATCGCCAATGTTCAGCTGGCTGTCCACCAAACACCCCCAGGTCCTTCTCCACCAGGCAGCTTTCCAGCCACTCGCTCCCCAAGCCTGTAGCGCTGCATGGGGTTGCTGTGACCCAAGTGCAGGACCCGGCACTTGGCCTTGTTGAGCCTTGTACAATTGGCCTTGGCCCATCGGTCCACCCTATCCAGATCCCTCTGTAGAGCCATCCTACCCTCAAGCACATCAACACGCCCGCCTAGCTTAGTTTCATCTGCGAACTTACTGAGGGTGCATTCGATCCTCTCATCCAGATCATTGATAAAGATATTAAAGAGAACTGGCCCCAGCACTGAGCCCTGGGGGACACCACTTGTGACCGGACACCAACTGGATTTAAATCCATTCACCACCACCCTCTGGGCACGGCCATCCAGCCAGATTTTTACCCAGTGAAGGGTACACCTGTCCAGGTCATGATCAGCCAGTTTCTCCAGGAGAATGTTGTGGGAAACGGTGTCAAAAGCTTTGCTAAAATCCAGGTAGATAACAAGTAGGTCCCACTTCTGGAGGGACACCGTGTAGCCCATCCCTGTTCTCTTCCTTCAGCCTGACGTTTTTGTCTTGTCCAACAGTGACACATTTTCAAAGCAGATCCACATCTGCACGGAGCCTCCAGTTTTACACTGGAAATACAGGAAGAAGATCAGCATCAACTAAACCAGGGGGAGAGAAGAGATCCTACTAATTAGCGGGGATAGCATAGCTGTTCTGACCGATGCCATTTGGGGTAATTTGGTGAAGGATCTGCTGTTGCACAGGTATCCTTCCACGTTGCTTGAATATACCCCTCTCCTTTTGATGCAGAGCAAGCGAGGATGAGCATCCCAACCTAAAAAGTTAGCTTATGTTAGTATCACCAATGTTAGCCTTCGTTAACTAATAATGAACAGAACAATGTGTTGTTTGAAGTCCCTCTAGCCTTAATTAACTAGTAATGAACAGAACGCCGCGTTGTTCGAAGTTCCTATTCTCTGGACCTTAGCATCTGGGATTGACTGTATACAGGATGAATTACATGACAACCCGGCAAGAGCAGAATCCAGTTGGCCAACTTGGCAACAGAACTTACTTTTAAGGTATCCTGAAGTGAACTGCCTTCATTATAATACTAAAAAACACACCCACAGGTCAAGAAGACCCTTGCCCAGGTGGAGACCCTTCTCCTGCGCATGTGTGATGACTGAAAGAATGACATAGCATATATTATAATTACTAACCAATCATTGTAACTTTTGTGTATAAATGCAGCAAGAAGACCAGCGTGGGGTGTGCTTGATTTGTGGAAAATCCACCGAGCACCCAGACCTGAATAAATACAGTATATCTCCTGAGCGTGCGAGATTGGTTCATTGCATGCTGGGCACGAATCCGCTTTTTGGACAACAGATCTGCAACCAGAATGACCCACGTTGTGGTGTGATCTTCAGACTAACGTGGGGCTTCCAGGCAAACGCGGTGCCCCGTGCATTGTCAGCACGCCTTCCCCAGTGCCCCGACAGCGGGGTTCCCCTCGGGCGCGTACTACCCTCGTCCCTCACCACCCCTGGTGCCGCAGAGCTGCACCCAAACCCACAAATTTCTGCTGCAACTCGAGCGCGACCGGATCTGAAGCTCTTTTTACATCGCTTTTCCTCGTCAAAGGCAAACCTGGAAATGATACATCTTTGGGTTTTATCACCAACATATCTGATTCAGTAATGAACTGAAAGCTAACCTTTATAAAACGATAAGGGCAGCATATTTCACACTCGCCCCAGTGCCAAATAGCCTTCAGAGCTTTAAAAACTAATTATACGAATAGAGGCATGACTTTTCTTTCCTTTCTCCCCTTGCCAAGTTCTGAGCTACTATAATATGCTCAATCAGGTCCCTTTGTCTGGCCAACCACACCAGAATATTAATGGGAACATTCTGCTAGTACCTTACGCTGCCTTTTGACATCTACTCGCGAAAGAGATAGTGGCGGGTTAAGACAACAAAATCAATCACTGTCAACACGGATATACATGAGGGGTTTTTTTGGGTTGTTTTTTTTTTTTCAAAGACATCACGTTTGGATTCTTCTTTTTAATTAAACAAATGAGTTACAGGAAACCTGGGGAGGGGGAGGGAAAGAAAACTGTGCACCGATATCTCATCCTGCCACGGTACAAAAACTGGTGGTAAACTTTCAGGGCATATTTAATTTAGTAACACTCATAAAGGGATGCTGCTGAGGAGTTCAAGCACTGCTGTCAGCCTTGTTTTATGACCAAAAAGGACATGCTCCCGTGTTTCATCAAGCTTCAACTTTCCTTTCCAGGAAAGGATGCTTAGTCCTGTCTCCACTAGACGAGGAGCGGGGTCCATGAACACAGGTGGGTATCTGTATATCAGGGTTTTAAATATCTTGGATGGTTAAAGTTAGAGTGAAATGAGCTCTCCCAGGCTCTCCCACCACAGCCATGACCCTAATAACCAAGGTATCCGCAGAACCCATTTCCCTTTGGTTCCACTGCAGTGTTCAGGCAGTGATGGCTACAGCAGAATTATTCCCAATTCATCAGCAGCGCCAAGAGGAAGAGAAAGAAGCAACAGCAGCGAAGAAATCATGTTCTTTTGTATTAGGAGAAAGTCTGAAAAAAGTCTGCTTAAATGGAAAGAAGATGACAAAAATTGGACAAGCAATTAGTTTTATTTTGAAGCATTCACGAGAGATCTATTCAACCATGCACAGATTCTTGAAGAAGTTTCTAAGCTGTGTCGTTTACCATCAATGGATAAAACTGGCCCAGACCAATTATTATCATTTAAATTAATGCTACAGGAGCATTCACATGGCACCCTGAGGAGCTGAGGCTTAATACGTGATGCTCTGTGCAAACAGATACTGAGAAAAGATCTTTGTCCCAATGTCTAGGCTGAAAAAAAGGACATGGGGCAGGAGCTTGTCCCAGTGAATTCAATGTAGATCACCTCGTAGACATTCCATCCTAACGCCTCAGACAGAATTTCACAAAATACTTCAATTAATGGATAGCAAAATGACAATATTGGAATAAAATGAATATTAGGATCAAAACGTTGGCACTGCTAGCATCAGACTGAGCTTGGCCATCAGATTTAGCCTGGCCAGGAATTCACACTTCGCAGGTTACGCTCTTCCAGTAGAACCCAGCACTGCATCCACAGGAGCTCTAGTGTCCCCCACTGATGGCACAAGAATCACCATAGAGCCAGGAGGGGATCCCAGCACCTTCCTGTGCCAAGAGACAAAGGATGAATGCCAATTGGAGGACCAAATCTATGAATGCCCAAAAAAACAGGGACTGCACAAAGACCTCAAGGGCTCTCCATCCTCACTCTTCCACTATCACTGAGGATTTTTTTAAAACACTGGCAAAGCTGATTATCCCCACAGCAGTATGAACAAACATTTCTGTGACTAGACATGTTTTATACTCTTTGTCGTTCCTCTCTCTAGACTGTATCATCGTTACGTTATTGTGCTTGCATCCAGTGAGTAAGTAAAATGACAATCTGGGCAAATTAGACTTCAATTTTCAACAGCTTCACTTACTCCTACAGTTTTATAGCCAAATGCCAATCAAGGAAGTGATGAATAGTGATGGGAATGTGCAGACAAGCTTCTTGACTCGCTGGAATGACAAAAAGGACCTGTTTCTTCAGGATGCGACAAGGATTCAGAGACGAAGCCAGTGTGCAGGGAAAGGCAATCTGCCTACTTACAGGCTTTCACTTGCCGGAAAAGGTAGAAACAATCTGTTTTGGATGCAGTAAGTTGCCTCTGAAAGAATCCCCTTTCGAGGTACCAATATTTTTCACTTGACTCTCCTTACAGAGCTCCTGGGGTTGGGACGGAGGAGAAATACCACCAGGTCACGGTTCAAATGGAGGACAGCTTTGGTGACAATGCCAGTTTTGGGAACTCCTGCCCAGTACAACCAGTTGGCCCCTCCATTACGTCACAGACCGTTGCTCTCTTAATTGCGTGGGTGATCAGTGTAGCACCATCAACCAACCAGGAAAAGGCTCTACCTGAATTAAAAATAACCCTTTCCCTCCCCAATCCCAGCCACTTTCCTGACTTGGTTCTTGACCACAATTCTTCAAATAGCCTTGTCTGAACAACAGAGCGAGCAGAAATGAGCAACGAGGGTGGGAAAGCAGCAAGTTGGTGCTACCACTGAAGCCTCCTTATTCCACCATGGCCTCCCTCTCTTCTGTCCTTGCTGCATCTGAGAAGCAGCTCTGCTTTCTCCTGTCTCTTGAAGGATAAGAAGCTTCAGGATGGTTTATCTACCAACCCATCATACGACGGTCACTGATAAGCAAGGCCCAGAAGCATCCCCCAAACAGATAATTTACCTAATGATTTCTCATTCTCAGCAGTACCAAATCCAGGCAACACAGAAGAAATTCTCAGTTGAGCACAGCTTGTGCCTGGCTTTACAAATACGCAGCTTAACGGCACGAAGACTCCAGTTTCATTTACTCCACTTGAGGAAAGACCATATCTCAACCTATTCTCGCACCTGAGGACGCAATAGCTACGCAAACACCACAATTACTGTGTTTCCAGCAGGTTTTACCATTGCCGCTACTCTCCTTGAGACCCTTTTACAACTCCATAAAATATTTTACCTTATGAAGTCTTCCTCCTCCTCCCTCTTGGGTCTCAGCTGCTTGGGCTGAGCCATGTTGCTCCAGTTGGGCAGAGATTTCAGGAGCCTGCTAATATCATCATCTTTAGCCCAGGATGCGCTGATCACCAGCTTTTCATCCGACTGCACGATGCTCCTACGGGGAAAGCAGCAACAATCACATTAGTGTGAAGCAATTTGTACTTCTCATGCAATTCCACACATATTCATTAAAATCCCCATCGCATACAAATGTGCATTGAGCATTAAGGAAGGGGTCCAAAGAGGAATTCAACAAAGTGCTCGAGTGGAGAGCACGGCAACACAGGTGGACAGGATATAAAATCCTCTTAAACTCACAACTCTTGATGTTCTTTGATAGAGTCGTTTAAAGGAAAAACGGCCATATTCTCCCCACCCTTGAAATCATTCAACTTGCAATGATTTACACAACCGGAGGAGGTCATTCTGTACTAGGAGAGAAAAAAGGTAGTTTCTCCATGGCTCATTTGTTCTCTGCAATCTCAGACGAGCGCGCCAGCCGCTGCTGATTGTGTTGTGACTGCAACGTGGAAACCTGCCCAGGAAGACCTGGGTGGAAGCCACCAGCTCACCGCACACCAGCTGGCCCAGCTTGGGGACCAGGTCTGAAGCAGTGGAAGGAAATGAAGGGTCCAGGATCTTCTCTCCAGCCATCCAAAACGTCTAATAGTAGAGATTTCAGCTAAATCATATGTATGTCTGAAACTGAATCAAACATCACAGCATATTCCAATTATGAAGAATTTTCTTGTTTAATATTTTTGGCAGTGTAACTCATATGAATCCCTCGCTGGCAATTGCAGGAGAGAAAACGGGATGCTGTAGTTGGAGAAGTCAATTAGCTGCCTATTTTTTTGCATTGCGATTGCTTATGAACAACCATCAGCACAGAACTCGTCAACGTTTGCTACTTCACTGGCACACCCTGACTAGAGAGAGGAATGTACTCTCCCATTCTTGGGTTGTTTGGTAGACAGCAAGGATTTGGGATGTATTATCTATCTCTTGGGAAAGGCAAGGGTGAGTTAGGGGTGCTGGCATTTCCTTCTAGGTCCCATCACTGATTTCCTTCTCTGGTGAGCACCTGAAATGCTCTTCTAGGAGGTCCTTGCATGGTGCCCAGTTGGACTGTTTCTCCAGCCCAAGAAGAGACATACGTGACCTGTCAACATCATTCAAAACAAAAGCATGGTGGTGACTTCTCCAACGGGCAGCAGTAGGATTTTTTCTTGCCCTTTGTAATGGGAACACCACAACCTCCCCGGACAACCAGTAAGCACAGTGTGACTTGAGAAAGGAAGCATCTGAGAAGACAAGGTCTCAGGGGTCCTGTTCCTATGGAGAGGCTTAGCTGCAGGTTAACAACAGAATCAAGATCTCCTTTGTGTGCTGAGAGACTGATAATCTTCTATTATGCAAAAATACAAAAAAGGCTCTGGGACCTGTGTTTCCCCTCACACACACACCACCCGTTGGTCACAAGGCTACAAGACACCTAGAAACAATGCATGTTTGCTGTGTCCTACAATGCAAGGGGTTGAAGAAGTGTAAATGCCGGATAGATGCTTTTCTGTTACTGTCCCCCAGAAGAAACGGCTTCTCCAACATGGAGAGAAACTCTGTGCATCAAGAAGATGCAGAGATTCATAGAATCATAGAATCGCTGAGGTTGGAAGGGGCCTTTAAGATCATCAAGTCCAACCACCAAACTAACCTGACAAAACCACCTCTAAACCATGTCCCCACGTACCACATCTACTCTTTTTTTAAACACCTCCAGGGATGGAGAATCCACCCCCTCCCTGGGCAGCCTAGTCCAATGGTTAATAACCCTTTCAGCGAAAAAATGTTTCCTAATATCCAATCTAAACCTCCCCTGACGTAACTTGAACCCATTTCCTCTCGTCCTATCACTTGTCACCAGGGAGAAGAGCTCAGCCCCCACCTCTCTACACCCTCCTTTCAGGTAGTTGTAGAGGGTGATAAGGTCTCCCCTCAGCCTCCTCTTCTCCAGGCTAAAAAATCCCAGTTCCCGCAGCTGCTCCTCATAAGACATGTGCTCCAGACCCCTCACCAGCTCCGTTGCCCTTCTCTGGACACACTCCAGCACCTCTATGTAAGGGCCCCAAACTGAACACAGCACTCGAGGTGGGGCCTCCCCAGTGCCGAGTACAGGGGTACGATCACTGCCGCAGTCCTGCTCACCACACTATTCCTGACACAGGCCAGGATGCCGTTGGCCTTCTTGGCCACCTGGGCACACTGATGGCTCACATTCAGCTGGCTGTCCACGAACACCCCCAGGTCCTTCTCCACCAGGCAGCTTTCCAGCCACTTCTCCCCAAGCCTGCAGCGCTGCATGGGGTTGCTGTGACCCAAATGCAGGACCCGGCACTTGGCCTTGTTGAGCCTCATACCATTGGCCTCGGCCCATCGGTCCAGCCTGTCCAGATCCCTCTGCAGTGCCATCCTTCCCTCAAGCACATCAACATGCCCACCTAGCTTAGTGTCATCTGCGAACTTACTGAGGGTGCATTCGATCCTCTCATCCAGATCATTGATAAAGATATTAAAGAGAACTGGCCCCAGCACTGAGCCCTGGAGGACACCACTTGTGACTGGACACCAACTGGATTTAACTCCATTTACCACCACTGGATTCGTCAACCAAGAACTGGAGTTGCTGGGTGCTGCAGGATGGATGGATCTGGGCTGGCTCAGCCAATGTCGGCTCAATGTGGACCTTGCAGAGCTGTTTACTCGGCTGCACGCTTCTGGATCCAAGCTAGGATGTTGCACGGGGCAAAGAGATGCTCAGAGCTGTCACTAGCATCCAGGTGGTGATTTTGGGAAGGGTCATGCAAGATCACAATAAAGACCCCGCACACTTGTAAGGGGTTTATGCGGATTAACCGGTCTCATTTTACGTGTCCTGAAAGGTATGTTTTGGTCAATAAATAGAAATAAAAGTATCAACACACTGAGTATTTGGGTTTTGAAAAGGAAAATGGCGAAAGAGGCATTGAGATAGGAGGCAACGCTGATCTATCTTGAAACACAGCAGAATGCTTCTTTTCCCAGCAGCACGGAGCAACCTATCACTCCCTTCACCCACCACCAAGAGAACAACCTCTGCTCAGTAAGTACACACGATTTGTGAAAATGAATTTGTCACATGCACTTAGGTATACATTTTCCTTCTCTTTAAATTTCATGTTCAATCTGCCACAGACAAAAGAATGAATTTTGTTTCCAGCCACCAAAGACCTCGGCATCGAAATGTCAATTTGGCCTTCTGCTGCTGTTCAGAACTTGGTGTTTTTCCACTTAGGAAAAAAAAAGGTCTCTTGTTCTCACCCTGGTGAAAACCGAGGGGGGAAAAAAAAAAGGGTCCACCAGAATCGCTGACATCCGAGATGGAAAAACTGAATTTGATGATATCTGGTCATTTCTCTGCCAAGGCAAGACAACTGTTCCATCGAATATATTAGCCAGTGCTTTGTCCTCTCCAGATTTAAATGACTAAAGTAATAGTCTCCTTCCCTTGGGAGTCTATTTCACAGTTGAACAAATCTAACTCTTGGACCAAAAAAAAAAAAAAAAGTCCTGCTACTGTGCTCGTGTTTTATTTTACTCAATTTCATCCCATTACTCCCCGTTATTTCCCCTTACAGCAGCCTCCGCTCTCACAGCTTTCACTATTTACGCTCTTCAATTATTTACAGCCTTATCATAGCCCTTCAGATGTCTACGAATGCAAGTCATCTTTGGGAGTCTTCTGATGGAGTTATACCGAGGACAGAGCTACCTCTCTGTTTTACGATCCTTATTATCTGCTGTCCTCAAAAATCCTATTGCTTTTTGGCGTGGGTGTTGGGGGAGGAGAGAGGGGAGGTTCTTTAGGTGCTACAGCGAGTTGGAAACCGAGCTCAGTGTCTTTGCTCTCCTAGGGTCAGTGTTTTCTGAGAGCCTAACCCACACGATTCCTGCTTTTCTCACCTTTCGGTGACGTGGGACGCACGGGTCCCTGAGTGACTGGAGCCCTAAGCCAAATTCTCCAGTGACATCAACAGGGAGCTTCAAACGAATCGATGCTGGGACACCGCCACTGCTACGTGGGTCCCTTGGAATTATGTCCCCATTCTTTCCCATGGTCGCAACACCTCCTAATTTTTATTGACAGGTTGGTTTTTACTCCAACCACCCCCTCATTAAGGAAGATGTTAAATAGGGTGGTACATACCTGATCTCTGTTACTTGCCCGACTTTCCCCATCAATTAAAACCTCCTTTTCCCCCACCTTTTCTTTCCAGCATCTCAGCCAGTTTTCAACCTCCGTAACATCTATCAATGTCAATCTAATTCGGGTCCTCGAGTAAATTATCACAAGACAGGATGACATGTTATAGTACAGCTCAAAATGCTTCCTTTCAAATGCTCCCCCCCTCTTCTCCCAAACTCCTCTGTAATTACTCCTGCTGCTGTAATAGGGTTACTTGCTACCACCAGTGCCATAATCAACTAATTAATTCACAGCTCAACGGGCCAAGGAAAATGCCATCTGTTTGTACCCAGCTCCCGGGAGCGGGTAGGGAATCGGTGTGACACTTACTCAGGTAATGGCACACGAGCGAGGAGGGTTCACTCCTCCGCAGCTCAGTGGGTTTTATCCAGAAAACATCTGCTGGTGGTGATGGTCCCAGATCTGCACCACTGCCGCCCCGAGCTGGGAGCAGAGCAATGGGGAACATCCCTGGACGCAGCTGGAGGGGGAACATGGCTTTTCATTAGGAAAACATCTGGGGGCTGCAAGGGCTAATTGGACTCCGTTGCCATGTGCCAAACCTATTTTTTGAGTAATTTTTTTTTTTTTTCCTCTTCCCAGGGCTGAGGTGATGTTTCCATGCTGAGCTCTGCTCGTGCTGCCGAGAGTTTGAAAGCAGCGTGCTCAGCATGTGCCAGGTACCGAATGGTCTGAGGGAGGCAGACCCCTGCCCAAAAAAGAGTCAAAAAGGCAACTTAAAACCCAAAAGGTTAATGCAAGAAGAGGAAGATGTCAATAGGAAGGAGTAAACTGAGTGTCAAGAGCATTTTCCAGGGACTCAAGAAATCCTGTTTGACCGCAGACCCCACAGCTTGCATGAACTCATATACTCCTCATTTCCTTATCAATAAAAGTTTTATTTTGCCTGGCTGGAAAGCAGGAACTGAGATTTATTTTTTTTTTTCTTCATCATTCTGAGAGATATTGGCCCAGTTATATCCCACCTAATCTTATAAATGTAACTGAGACAGCTCAGCCAGGAGTGTGGTCACCATAAGCTGCCTTCACGGCCGATGGAGAGAGCTGAGCACCTCCAGAGAGTTTAGGCACTTTTTAACGAAGATGAACCACTCTTTGGAGATGTCTGTCTCTTTTTACAGACTAAAGAGACTCGTTTGGGTGAGCAGTGCCTTTACTCAGACTGTTCAGGCAGGTTGAAAAATGTGCCAGAGGACAGTTGTCCAAAGGAGAGAGGATGAGGATTGGTAAGAAGAGGGGGGGATGCACAGGATAGAGCTTAAAGTTGGACAACAAAATGAGAATGTGCGACTTCAACACGGACAGAACTAAACATGGGGCCAATTTATGAAGAAAGACATGGAAAGAGATTAGTTTTAGCGCTCAAGACAGCAAAGCTTGTCCGAGAAGGGTGTTGGCAAGAGACTGAAAACTCATGTTAAGGGTAGACACCCTGAAGTGGTCAGGTTTGTCTGTCTGATCCTTTCTATGGCCTTTCAGTATTTTTCCCAAAGGCTTGTAAAAATGGTTTAACTATACAGGCTTAACTCACGAATAGAGCTGCCTTCTTAGAAATTTGCTGAAGAAGCGCCGAGACGTGGGCTGGACAAGACTTAAGAAGAGCACTGCCAACACTGCAAGAGGTTTTGTGGCTCCATCTCCCGTTTTTGTTTTCGTTTTAATCCCCAACCCCTCATAAACTAGGAGGAAAACATAACTCACGTTTGTAAACAGTTTGTGTCAAACTGAAATTGAGCTTCTTACAAACATGTAATTTGCAGAAGACATCTCACCTAGATCACATTAAACACGCTTCCGAAATCTGCCATCAATTAAAACAAGAAAATCCATAGTTGCTACTTATATAAATGTCCAATCCATACATATCCAGCCCCGCTAGGGTGGGTTTTTTTTTTCCGCATTCATTAGAAAATCAGAGCCAAATGGAAATCAAACATGAAAAATCTCAGCTGTGCATTTCTCAGCGCCGACGTCCTGACAGAGCTATCTGTTCTGCAAAGGACTCCGAATCAAACAGCCTTGCTTTGAGGAGCCCGTATTTGAATACGCTTCATCCGCATTTGCTCATATTCCCCTTCAAGAAACACAGGCATGTGGGGAACGAATGAATGCCACTTGCAAATCTTGCAGACACCATCTCTCCGGCTTCCCAAATTCTCCCTATCTTGACATCTCCGGAACAGACGCATGCTCCCTTGCTCCGATAACTTCACCTGATCGTATTAACACACAGGTCTCGGGTGTTGATTCTGATTTTAAGCATCTATAAATGATCCTCCCTCCACTAACTTTATCAACATGAGGGTTTATCCATCTCAACCCCCCCAAGGAAAACCCTGGTGCAAAGGGCAAGGCTGAGCTGAGCCGTTCCGACGCGAGATCCCTGCAGAGGGCACAACGTCCCCACGGATGGAGCCGCTCGCCCCGGGAAAGCAGGGGAGCTGCTATATTCCTCTGCATCATTTGAAATGTATATAGATTTCTATTTCAGTCATTTGCTAGCAGCAAAAACTAGAACATTTCCTGTTTTTTCCTCCTGCTGTAATCAGGATATTGCCAAATTAGGCCTGTCCTAATTACTCCCCAGCAGGTGCCAAACCCAGGAATGGTATCAGCAAAGGAAGGAAGGAAGGACCTTTAAGTTCAAGCCAAAGAAATTACATCTATTGTCTGGCTACAGTCAGTGAAGTTTCACATAAAATATGAGCATTTTGGACAACGGCACACAAGCAGCTCCCAATTTACACGAGCGCTCCGACGAAGTTTAGCCCACATATGTGCTCACTGCTATTGTCGGCGTTATTAATAATAATAATAATGAGCCCGTACGCAGCCGCTCGCCAGATGAAGCTTCTCCTGAATGAAATCAGGCAATAGGAAATAATTTCTTGATGCTCTCGGTCAGAAAACACAAGGGCCTTTTTCAGCTTCCCCCTGCTATCGCCAGCCTCAATTAGCCATTAAAGGAGATTACGGATAGCAGCTATTATAGCCCACGTCGCCGCAGCATCTTTACTGTCTTTCAATGCAAGTATTTATCGCCACGGCACGGGGCACGGTCCTGGTCCCCCTCTCCAAGGAGGGCAATTTTACAGATGGGCAACTGGGATGTACAGAGAATAAGTTACTCTATTGATGGTTACCCAGGAAAACTATGATAAATTAAGTAGCCGAAGGACTCGAATCTCACGACCCAACGTGATAACCCAGTGCCCAGTGGGACCATTCGGCTTCCACACCGTGGTTGGGGAAACCGAGCACAGACCACCCGAAAACACCGACAAAGATAGCCCAGGACAGAGCATTTGATGACCCCTTGAAAGAATAAGCTTATGGAAAGGTTTTGGGAAAGTTTCACAAAATCCAGTGTGTATTTATACAGTGTGTTGTGGTTACTAACTCCTACATTGCCATGAGATCTGAATACCCAAATGTCAATGTAATTAATTAATTTATAGCTGAATCTCTTGGGAACACTCAAATGGAAGGATCTGACTTGCTTTACAAGAAAGCAATAGCTATATATGGCTATTTATGTTAAAGATGACATCTTATACTCTCCATATCCAACACGAGGTCACCTTTTGCCTGATTAAGAGAAAAACTGTGTGGTTTCTAAGCTCTACAACCACTGCCATCCAGGATTAAAGAGCCTAAACCACAGTGTGATGTGGACAGAGTCACTGGTGAGCCAAGACTCTTAGGATTATTTCAGATTTTTTCCCCTCCTAGAAAGAAATATCCTTGACCATCCCAGCAGAGATGATTTCTAGAAATAACTCCTGCCTACTTATGGCAAAATAACAAAAGCCCAAGAGCTGTATCTCCAGCAGACATCGCCTTCCAAGCCTTCCTGTACCTGTAGGCAAGGGTGCAGGTGTCCTTGTACTCCTGGAGTTTCACACACACCATGTTGAGGAACTGATCCGAATAGGCGCTCAAGTCGTGCATCAGGTTCATCAGGTCTTGAACAGTCTTCTCCACAATTACCGTGCTCTGGAAAAGAAAGAAAAGCACAAGTATGAAGAGCGTTTTTTGTGAATCTTAATTTCCCCCTTCTCATGTTTTGCTAATTAGTGTGAAAGATGCAACTGTACAGCTGATGCTCCCCAACGCTGAGCAGATGCTGGAGCAGCCTGTGCCACCAAGTGACGTAAAACAGAATGAATGAGGAAAAAGCAGAAACCGTGCAAGGGATGGAAGAGGTCAGCTTAGGGGTTTGATTATCAGGTCTGTAAGAGTTTGAATTTTCTTACACTGGCTGAGGACCAGCAGACTTCACCAGGTCTTTCTTTCACAGAATCCCAGAATGGTGGGGTTTGGAAGGGACCTCTGGAGATCATCCAGTCCCACCCCCTGCCAGAGCAGGGGCACCTCCAGCAGTGGCACAGGACGGCGTCCAGGCGGGTTTGGGATGGCTCCAGAGGGGGAGACTCCCCCACCTCTCTGGGCAGCCTGTGCCACTGCTCTGCCACCCTCACAGGAAAGAAGTCCCTCCTCGTGTTTACACAGAACTTCCTATGCTCAAGTTTGTGCCTGTTCCCTCTTGTCCTGTCACTGGGCACCACTGAAAAAAGACCATTCCCATCCCCCTGGCACCCTCCCTTGAAGGATTTAAAAGCGTTGATAAGATGCCTCCTCAGTCTTCTTTTCTGCAGACTAAAAAGCCCCAAGTCCCTCAGCCTATCCTCGTAAGAGAGATGTTCCAGTCCCCTCATCATCTTTGTAGCTCTTTGCTGGACCCTCTCCAGCAGTTCCCTGTCCTTCTTCACCCGGGGGGCCCAGAACTGGACACAGTGCTCCAGATGTGGCCTCACCAGGGCAGAGTAGAGGGGGAGGATGACCTCCCTCGACCTGCTGGCCACACTCTTCTTGATGGTCCCCAGGATGCCATTGGCCTTCTTGGCCACCAGGGCACATCACTGGCTTACTTCCTTCACTAGATGAAACCTCAAAATGGAAAAGTGTGATTTTTAGAGGAAGCAGGTCCCCGCAGCTTCACTGAGCTCTGCTTTCACCTGCAAACCCCAAACATTTCAACCTGACCAATAATTCTGGACTCAAAGGTCGCAGACTTAAAGAGTTGCAGACTTAAAGACCACCGCTCCTATCCATACAAACTATATGCGTAGGGCACACACCGAGCTTTAAGTAGCACCTTGAAACCCTTTTGGTTCCCCAAACAGTATTTTACAGTCATAGGAAGGACAGGGCAAATCTGCAAACTGACAACGCTGCTCCACATCCTACAGATGAGCAGATTCGGACAGCCTGCAGAAGGAGGTACCACGTATCTGACAACGTCTGAGACTTAAACAGTTCCGTGTGAATTTTGGGATTTCTGGGGCACCCCAAGGTCACTTGGCACAGTTTGTATTTATAACATTGCCTGCTGTATTTAATTTGGTTGCCACAAACAAGACAGAAGGAAGGTTACCAAAGTCCTGGGTTGATATAAATTGAATTGATACCAGGCTCGGTAGAGCGAAGGGTTATTCCTGAGCTATGCGCAAAGGCAAAGAAGGAGACTGAAACATTTGGGAGCCCTGGTTCGTTTGAGAAATTCTGGGCTCAAATTATAAAGGGGGACCCCAGGGACTTTGAGAGAGCTGCATCAAGGCTGAATTTAGCCCCTCCTCTGCGTTAATCAGGATGTGAAGAGGAATTAGTGACTCAGTTGTTTGCGGAGCAAAATCTCATCAAACCCCACATCACCGTCTCCGCCACATCCCCACAAGCCCGACTTCCGTCTCTCTATTGATTTCCAGATTAAAGCGCGGCAGCATCGTCCTCATCCATAATCCCGCTCCTCCAGAGCAACCCCGTGAGTGACAGGAATTGATTCTGCTCCGCTACCTGTCCCTGATTCGGTAAAAAAAGCATCTGCAGACCTCATCCTCATTCAGAGCACACGCGACTCCTGAGCATGTGGGGGCTTCAACGAAGGCTTAGTCACCGCCTGTGCTGTTCCTCATATGTCCTTGGCTCGCAACTGCACTTGGAGGAAAAAAAAAAACCACCCCAACCTTCTCTTTGGTTGCTCTTGTCTCTTGTTAAGCTTGTTCTTAAGCAAATCACAGGAATTAACCCATCTTTCATATTGTAATTAGTGACAATTTGGGATTATTTTGTCCAAACAAAAATGTAGTCTGGCATAGCTGCCTCTCAGATGCTCTCGTTTATGCTGCTTCTCCTGTTGCTACAAGGACCTGTGTTTTAATAAATATTCAATCCCGCCCTGGGCTCGATGCACACGGAGGAGAACAACCGCCCCTAAAGGGCTCGCCACCTGGTGTCATCGCAAGCAAACAAAGCAGACAACTACGCGGAGAGGATGCAGCAGCCACTGATGCCCTTTTCATACCGATGGGCTGCGGCGTGTGGGCACAGCTCATTACCTGCAGGATTCAGACATGGCCCAGGCTCTTCGCTAGCCCTGCTCAGCGTGCCAGGCTCAGCCCGGAAGGGCGAAAGCATCATTTTAAGAATCCACCCAAATCCCACTAAAATGGGAGCCCAATCTGGCACCTCTCCCTTGAGGGTAAACTCAAACCCCCGTATGCTGGGGTGATAAATGTAGTGGGAAATGGTGAGTTGGGGAGATACGCTCCATCAGATCCATTGGGCTAGAGGTAGGGAATAATCGCACCTTCACGGCAGTAGGGCTGGGGAAGGAGCTGCCGTCCTTCCGTGAAGCACCAACGACCACAATGGGTGCAAGGGGGTGAATCAGAGGTGCTTCACTTTGCACCGAGATGGTTTAGAGGTGCTGCCGTGGCCAGAGTTTGTCTGTCAGCAGAGGAAAGGGCAAGTCTCCGACCCGCTGACGTGAGCCACGAGAACAGCTCTGATGGCACAAAGGGAAAATACGTTGTTTGTGGTTGAAGTTGCCATTCAGCTTCAATCCAAATCCAAGTCACCTTCTACAGGCTGATCCTGATGCTTAAGGGTGAAGCATTCAAGTTAATGTTTATACATAGGGAAGAAAAAAATAAAATCCTTCCTAACTCACGTAGCAACCTGGAAGATAAAAACAGTTCTTCTCCTCTTTGCATGAATAATCATATGTTTCATTTTTCACTGGTATTTCACCGGTGAGAGGTGGGTGGGATTTTCAGCAGACTCATGCTATAAATTGATCTCTCTCAGCTTACCAGGGGCGGGATCCTCCCCATCCTTCCAGGCATCCTTGTGGCACAGCAAACTCCATGGGTTGGATGTGCAACCACACCAAGAGGAATCCAACCTGGTCTCAATCTGCCCCGTTTCTACTGCCCCCCCGCCATGGCAGGGGGGTTGGAACTTCATGATCCTTAAGGTCCCTTCCAACCCAAACCATTCCATGATTCTATTTCTTTACGTAACACAACATTTGAGCAAACAACCTAAAAATCCAAAGACTGTATGTTAAAAAAGAAGGTATTACTGGTTTCTATGTAGCTTCTCCCACTTACTTTCTCCTCTGTACAACAACATTAAAATCAGAGCTAAGCTCCTGCCAATATCTTGATTTTAGAATAAGATCTTTTGATTTAAAGGAAATACAAAGCTGCTTGCATGATTTAAAAAAAAATAAAAGAAAGAAATAAAGGCCATTACCATATGAAAGAAGACAGTCCCAGATACGTAATAGCGATTTTTCTCTAACATTTTAACCTTTTCCAAAGCAAGCCTGACACATCTGCATGTGTCTCCGGGGACGCGATGTATTAGGATGCATTAGGCCCCGTTAATATAGCTGGATTTGTTAGCTGGGCCAGTGCAGGATCTTCTGAAACTCCGCGCGAGCAAATGAAAGGCAGCGCACGTATTATCAGAGAGTTACAATCCAGTTGCCTCTAACCCATCTGGATTCATTAACAGCAAATGGATATGATCAAAGCATAATTTTATGGCAAGACACTTCAATGAAGCCTTTTAAAAAAACCCACACTAACAAGGAAACTCATCCCCAGAACAATATTCATCTCCTCGCACCTGAAAACGCTGCGTGGTGCTGAATCCTAACATCACGCCGAGGGTATGATTCATTACTCCTACATTAGGGTGAAGGTTTCAAAAGAGTCTTAAGGCTACTAAAAATAAAAAAGAAACTCCTCCTTACGTCCTCCTGTCCATTAGCTACTGTCAAGGCAACAGGATAAAACAGAGCAGCACCGCTTGTTATTAACACTGTGTGTTTTATCTTTAATGTATTTTGCAAATATTTATCATTATTTCTAGATGTGACCCTTATTCTCAGTTGTGCTGAAGCTTCAGATAACGCAAAGCAGCTCCGGGGCAGGTATAATTCACGCTCCGACCGTAGGGCTTCCACCAGCCCAGAGTGACAGCAAATAAGCAGACCCAGAGGTATTATCCCAATAATCCTTTTGGGATTATTGTCTTGTGCAACGCCACCGAAGTTTTTAAAACGACTCAATTCCTCTGCAGCAAGAGGGCACTCAATGTAAAACAATGCAGCTGGAGGAATGATGTTTTTAAGGGTCCCTTAAAATTCCGTACAATAAAGCTGGTTCCCCAGCAATTCCCTGACACGCAGAAGTAGTTCAAAACCAACAGGTCAAGCCTACGCAAACCTTCCGATTTTCCACCTGTCATTTTGTTTTCTCTAACTTCTTGGGGAGGAACACCAGATTAGAGGAAAAATCTCCACTCTGAATGTTTGGGTTTTTTTTTCTGCAGAAATCGCAGCTTCCCTCATGCCCGTTCTCTTGCTCCACTTTCTCAGGGGAAGAAGGCAAAGACGGGAATGTACCTGTGCAGGGATGTCTTCACCATGTGACGGGCTCTTGAAAGCCCAGCAAATGGAGGAAGAGACCTTGGCACTGGAAAGGTTGTCGATTATTAGTATATTATTGCCCATCACTTAAAAACCTCCTGGAGACGCCTTGGCAGGGGAAGGTACGACATGAGTGCTGGATGTGGCTGCCTTAAAGGAAAAAATAAATATAGCCTAATCTAATTTTTAAGCTGGAGTTTAGCTGACAGTCCAC